CATATCACAATATTCCACGTGTGAAAACACAAGAGGCATTTCAGCAACTCATCACACAACTAATTTACCACCCATTCACGACCCCGCCGCAACGTAATTTGTAGGCTCTGGTAGGGAGCGCATGAGCTTATGGCTAGTGACTCACAGCACTCAAGGACAAACAGATAAGGGTCTCAGCTGACAGGTACGTATAGTGCGTGGACCTGCNCATATTATAAGGTAAGGTTATAAAACCACCTTTTAAGATCATTTTAGTGAAAGTTTCATGTTCCTATCTCATAGAATTTAAGAACAATGATGAATAAATAATTTTCGAGCAAAATTTAAATGGCCGGCTGAATATATTACCGCAGGAGCCGCGGCCGCGGAATTTAAATGACCACGTCAAAGGGTTAAAGAAATAACACGCTACATTGGTGTATTTACATTTATATTGTTATGGTATTCAAGCATGTGCATTTTAAATGTCTTGCTACAGTTAGAGTATAGAGGAATTTACTTACCCTGTGCTTTTACTCTCCTTCTTCCATACCATACTGAATAGGCAATGCAGCATGCCAATGTTCACCTATATGGGCTTTACTGTACCATTTGTTAAAACACATTTTACACAGCCTTACTAGTTCAGTGTATATGTGTATATCAAATTTAATGGAAATGCTGCGTGGATGTAATTTGTTTACAAGTTCTTTCAGTATTTGTACATTCATTGGGTAAGCTCCCATGCAAATTGTCATTCCTGGCTTTATTACTCAGAAGCAGTTACAATAAACTCCCTGTTATCTGATATCCAAGCATCCAGAATTCTCAAGCAACCGGTAAACATTTAAAAGAAAATTTACCATTATTCACAGTTAAGTAGTTCAAAAACAAGGTTATGATGTCTATATGTTCACCCACCATGCAACAGTTCTCCTACCTGCCACTAGCAACACTGTGCATTGTCCTCCTTCACATAAGTGCCTTTACAGTCATAGTGATGTGTGATTACAGTAGAGGATACTTCAGTTCATGATTGCATTACAGTATATCTGAAATCTTTTACTCATCAATCTGATATGTCACCTAAGAACAATTCCATGAAAGATCTAAAGAGAAAGCACACTGTTTCATCTTCAAAACAAAAATTGAAACATTAAAAAGCTGGAAAAGAATGAAAAAAAAAAGGTTCTATAGGAGTCTTCCTCATGAAACTTGCAGAAAACTACCCCCTGCAACCATTTAGCTTTCCTTACAGCCTATTCATCTGTTCGGAGGAAGTGTGCACTTTCATGGATAGGTCAAGTAACTATGATTCTCCATGAGGGATGCCTTTCATAAATCCTCACACAAATCACACACACACACACACACGACTTCATTCATAATGCAGAGAAAAATATGAATTATGTGATGAAACATGGCAGCAAGGAGTTCTGGGTCTAAACTCATAAAACCTATTTTCCTACTCAGCCTTCCAAATTTCACAAATCTTGTGCTATTAATGTCTTACTTAAATCATGTGAAATTTGTAATTAAAAAAATCAATTTAATATGTGTGCTAGGGTGCAAGACTCATGCATAGACTGTCATAAGACTAAATCCTGTCTGTTCAAATTTTTGTTGCCTTAAATTATATATGTCATGAAGAATGTAAATGTACATTTATGATTAATCTCAATTTAAAATTTTATGTGTCTAGCTCATACATATTTCATGCAGCCATAATTTTGTTAACTTTCTGCAAAAAAATATTCACAAAAGTTTCACCATTTTTTAATAACTACACTATATATGGAACCATGACCTTATATTAAAAGTCATTCCATCTTCACAAGTTCTTGACCTGCCACACTGTTATGCCTATTGTAGGAAAATGAAATGTGTGAGACTTGTGTCAAGTGTCTCTAAAGGCATAACAAACATTTCAAATTCTGTTAAAGCTTGCAAATTAGTTTAAGAGAAAAAAGTACGTTAATTACAAATATAATGGGAGACAGTTTATATAATGAACATCGTTCTTTTACCCACCAGAGTGTTTTGGGTTGCACTGGAGGTGGATGGGCCATCAGGGGGAGCAGGAAGAGCTGCTTGCTGGCGGGATGACAACATGTTGACAGAGAACCGAGACTTCATCTCTTGCACAAGTTGCATTCCTTCTTCTTCTCTAAATGTAACAAGTCAGTTGCAATATGAGACCTGAGATAATCATGGTGGCCTATGTTCACTGCAGAATCTTCTGTGTAAAGCAGATGTGAAAAAAAGGTGAAACAGGGGCAATTTTTACCTTTTTAACATGGTGCAATATGCAGAAGACAGCTCTACAGTGAATATTAACCATGTTTGTACCTATATTTGATGAAGAAAGTGGGGAATGGTGGAAATTTACATAATGAAGAGCTCTTGTGATTTCCATAGTGCTGTTTGAGTACTTAAGTAATAGAGGTTATGATGAGCCACTCGACACACAATCCTGGTCAAATACTATACGTATTTTTTTATTGCTAGTGGGGTGGGACTAAGTCCCTTGCACTGCAGCCACTTCTGGCCTATTGTACCAGGCCCAGATGATAGGTGCGGGTGATTGTGGAGCACTTGGTGGAATGAGATTGACAGGGGAAACCAAAGTACTCGGAGAAAACCTGCCCCAGCGCCACTTTTTTCACCACAAATCACAATTGACCAGACCTGGGATCGAACCTGGGCCACCGCGGTAGGAAGCCAGCAACTAATCGCTTGAGCTATGGCGCGGCCAATACTCCATGTAACCTACCAGCAGTGTGGACTACACTGTCCCCTCAATCAGGGTTTGATATCACACTCCAAAAGATTTCATCAACTTTAAAATCTGATTTCAAGGAAGGTTGATTTCCACAGCACCACAGATGACACAACAATCAAATAAGCTGGGCTTCCCTTCCCACCATCACTGTGATGAAACAGTTATCCCTTACAGAGAGAAGAAAGTCACCTTTCACTGATAACTTACGATACAAGGGTATTGATGCAGATGAAGGAAACAATATTCTGGGTGTCCTTGTCATACTCAAGATAGCCATGAGTACGCAGATAAATGAACTGGCCAGTCTTGGACAGGAGCCTGTAGCAACTTCTGCCATAAGTCGCTTTACCACGGTCATACACTGTGACAAACAAACAAATTTTCAGGTGTAAGAGTGGTCCTTCAGGTATTCATACACCAGTGGCAAATTCAGACACATTTGCATACAGCATTTTTTCCCCACAAGATATAATGTATCCCAAATTGTAGAACAAATGAACCTAACATTATCATGCATAAAAATGGGTATGACATTGAATTACTGCTGAGAAACGTTACTTACTCTGTCGGAGTGCAACAATTGTAAACCGCACATCGTCCTTATGCATGAACTTAAAGGCTGAGTCCCCTGTAATTTCCTCGGCCATGTAGCCTGACACCACAGAGATCCTGTAATCGCAATTCATATAATTAATAATTAATTAATAACATTAATAACCTAGTCTACTTTTAAGCTTTTAAGAACTAACAGTTGATATAATGGAATGGAAATACTAACAACCAGTTGCACACCTAACTACAGTGTGATAATTCCTGCAAAAGCACTTCATTCATCTAATCAAAATATAAATAACATAAAAATGAGATTATCATGTGAAACTATATGGAAGCAGCAATCCTTCTTCAGCCAGTACACATATTGATACACCAGTCAACAGCCAGAGCACTGCATGTTCCAACCTTGAGGCTAAAACCAAGCATGAGACAACTGCAAACATGTTTTAGAAGAACTGCACTGCATTAAAGTATTCATAAAGCCTAAGTCCTATATGTTAACCAGTTAAAACAAAGTACAATATTATGACTAATCCTTCCCTGTTCAAATTCTTTTTAAAATGCTGATCTATTCTTAAATTATTCAATGATGCTGCTTCAACCACAGAGATCTATGACACTCCATGAGATGGGAGGATCATCTTGAATGTTAGAAAAGGCAAATATGTGTGTAAAGAGAAGCAGTTATGACTTATGATTCCAAAATTATCCCATACAGAGAGTCAGGGCCAAATATGGCACATGAGTGACACCCAATGCCATATGCATAATACAGCACTATTTATAACAGAAAATACTGAGGTCAACATGTAAAGAAATATGGTGCACAGTATTACAATGAACCGCTAACAAGTCTCTTTAAAGTATTCTGTATTCAAAGTTTGCAAAGTATTTTTTTGCATTTTCTGTTATTCAATGATACCACTTAAACTGTGACTGTTGTACAGCATCAAATGACATTGGAAGATAATTTCAATAGTGCCTATGTAGACTTGGAACCAGTCATTATATATATCGAGGTATCATCTATCACAGTATTTTTGACAGATTCATGACAACCATGACAATTCTCAGCAAGGAAAATAGCTGGCCTTGATGACATTCAAACTAATACCTCCTAAATATGAGGGTTGGAACTTTAATAGTGGCAACTATTTATTTACAACCGATACAAAATAGATGCATGTTTCGAAGTTTTACTGTCCTTCAATTCACAATTGGCTCACTAATGGGAATGAGGTTGTCAGCCTTACACACTGGCCGCCCTTTAGCCCCAGAAATATTCCTGGTACTCACTTCTGTCAGAGGTTGAGTCAACCCAGGGCCATAGTGTGGCTCGAAGGATTAATTAGGTCAACTGAAAAATCCAAAGACCTCATCAGGAATGGAACCTGCAACCTTCCAGCTTGTAGCACAGTGCCTTGACCAACTACGCTACTGCGCACCATACAGTTAGCATTTACAAGTTAAAAATCTAAAGGCAATAAATGAGCGAAGAAACTCATTATGCTAAGCATATGTTTCATGACTTACTGTATTCTCCTTATTCTTCTCCTGTTTTGTCTCTCGGCTTCTCTTCCTTTTCCTTTCTTCCAGTCTCTTCATCCACAATTTAGCTGTCTTCTTTTCCATATTCTCCTCCTATCATATCCTCACCTACACAATTTTACGTTCAGGTCTGAATATTTTTTAAATTCCCCAGAATGCCCAACGACTGTGGAGTATCATACCTGTGGTCACTGTAAATGATGCGGCCATCAAGGAGGTGGCGAGTCACGTATTCATCTCTAGTAGGCTCAAGCAGTGAGCGATCAGCAACACTTCTCTCACGCATCATGCGGACAACTGCAATCAGCACAGTATCGATGTCGACCCCTGATCCTGTATTGCCACTATCTACAGAGAGAAATGAGAACAGAACTTAGGTACAGTTTTCAGTAATCCTGACTCACACACAGACTGTGAAGCTCAGTATTTGGTGAAAAATGGATGTACAGTGGAATCCAGTTAATTTGGATACACTGGATCAGAGTACTTCACCGCAGTTAAGCGGCTGCCACAAATATATGAAGCTGCCATAAAGTTTTAAAAAGGTATACAGTGAGTCAGTGATTCACTGATGATGTATTAATTACAAGTGAGCCATGTGGCAGCTACTGGCCCAATTAAACAACATGGTGTCCCAAATAAGAGAAGTAAACTTTGGTAATATTCTTCATTTGTTTTTGTTCTTCAGGATCTGCCTGAAATTACAGTGACCCTATTAACATGAATCCATCAAATATATGAATTACTATTATGACCACATAAGCAAGGCAAAGTAGTTATCCAGTAATCCTTCATAATCCATAATCCTTGATAATCCCACATCAAACCCAGACAATGACTGTCGAGCTTGGTTGGTGCAGAGAAGAACAAATGCTTTGACATAATGCACATGGATTCTATCAATCTTTACGCAAGTACTGGTGTATCATCAAATGAACTATGAAGATGAGAACTGATTATGAACTGGAAGGGAGTAGGAAGAAAACAGAGGACATCTGTGTCAAGGTACTATCCCACAATTCCCAAGGATGAAGGAGTAAAACTATGAAGACTTCCAGGACAGTTGGTGTCTAAAATGGTATTCAAAATGGAGACTTCATGAATACTAGCCAGAGCATTATTCCAGCCTGCTAGGTATTATTCTTCAGCACCACTTTTTCCTCTCCATCACAGCTTCAGGGACCAACAAACCCGGATATACGTTCAGGTTCTATGCCTTGCTTAATCGACAAGTTCGATCTCGTTTGCAAGTTCATAATCAGGGATGCATACTATGTATACTGCTATAAAAGTTCCTAGTTCCACACACATTATTAGGAAGATTAAACAAACATAAAATGGATAGGGCATGTACTACATATAGAGGCCATGGAGGAACACAAACAAATTACCTAAAGAGAGGGGACTGTTTGGAAGACTTAGGCATATATGGGAGGATAATACTGGAACAAATATTTAAGGAATATGGCATGAGGGTGTGGGTTGGATTCAACTGGCTCAGGACAGGGTCTAGCTTACGACATTTCTGAGCATAGTAATGAATCCTCTGGTTCCATAAGATTGCATGTACAGTTCAGCAACTACCACCTAATCACGACATCTCTTTGTTTACAGATTTAATTAACCGAACTCTGTAAACGTATAACTGATGCCATCAATTAGAGGATAATTACAAAAGACACATTAGAAAAGACCTGTAGCAAAGAAGCCATGTCCTTTTTTTAAAAGATGCTATCCCTGCGACAGGCCTTGGAGGCTCATGGGGTTGTGAGACGTTGAGGCTTCAACATTTTCTAGACCACTGACTCACAGACAGCGGCGAGGTTGTCAGCCTTATGCACCGGACGCCCTTTACCGCCAGGAAGATTCCTGGTACTCATTTCTGTTAGAGTCTGAGTCAACCCCAGGGCCAGAGTACGGCTGAAAGGATTAGGTGAACTGAAAAATCCAATGACCTCATCGGGATAATCAGATGAAACCACTAAGAGCTTCAGGACAGCAGAGCTTCTATTTCAAAAGAGTAATAACCACCACATCATGATATTCATATTGGATGACCCTCACTATTACGTAATGTTAGTCTCTTTTTCAAGGGACTATTCAGGTACGTATTTATACACTGACAAAGGGCAGTCAGTAGCCATGCAACCTGCGGGAGCGGCAAACTTGGCTGAACTTGGCTGATAGAGAGAAGAGTAAGACCGCATAGTGACACATTTAATGGAATGAACACTTCCATTTAATGATACGTACATACTCATTTGACTTGGTTGTGACACAGAACTGATATAAAAAACGGTAATATCTCCCATAATTTTCGGGCGTAAAATCAAATAACCACTTAGGCTGCCTTCACGAAATTATAAAACATAAATTTAATGAACTGCTTACGTCAAAACATGTTTAAATTGAATATGGGGCCTCTTATGAGATGCATTAGATGATTGATGTGGATACTCTAGGCCAGACAGGGAAACCTAGCGTACCTTACCACAGTCTTTGAATTTGAAGAACATAACATTAGCTCAATCAAACATCATTTAGCAAATCCGACACTGGAAGAGTCTTGATATGAGAACATGTGGTTCTCGGCTTTTAACAGCTACATTTTTACATTTCAGTACGTAGAAACATACAGTATGTTCTTATCGCAGACCAAATTTCACCCCCACAGGGCCACAGGGAGATCAACGAGTTCAGAAACGAAATAATTGGCACGTTTTGCGAACAAGTAGTTCATATACAAAAAACACGGTGACGTTTCTGTAATTGTGTGAGAAAATCTAATTTTCTCCATGTCCATTCTAAGCCAGTACTGCTCTAGTGACAAAATACTCATGTGGAGCCCTCCTCTTCCAAATCTTCCAAAGTATCCCGGTCTACTGACCTGCCCATTTCGCCGCTGATCGGTGAGTTTAGCCCTTCTCATTAGATGACCACCTGAAACCAAGAGTTTATGGTGGTCTCACAGAAAACCACCATAGGTCACTGACCACCAGGGCTATTAAGTATGAAACAAGACCGCGCCATAGCTCAAGCGGTTAGTCGCTGGCTTCCCACCGAGGCGGCCCGGGTTCGATCCCGGCTCTGGTCAAGTGGGATTTGTGGTGGACAAAGTGACGCTGGGGCAAGTTTCCCCTGCCAATCATCGTTCAACCAATTGCTCCACAATCACCCTCACCTATCATCTGGGGCCGCAGTTCAAGGGACTTAGTCCCACCCCACTAGAAATAAAAAAAGTATCAAATAGCTCGACATAATCATTTAAACACGAATTCAAAATATTTCAGTATCCTATGCGTCGGAAGCAACTACCTTGCAGTCTCTTATAATTCCGGCACCGTGACAATGAACTGTCCTTATATAGCACATACATTCTTACTCACCACAACACGCTGAACGACAGCGGTTCGATTCTTGCATGGACTTTAATCTTTGCCCCCAAGCCTAGACCGGTTCTGGGAGTCACACTGCCCCCAAGGTCCCCTTTTCAAACGACACAGCAGCCGAAGCATGAAAATAGCCTCTCATTTCAATATAGTGCCTAGTTTAATGTGTGCAGCTTTATCTCCACGCCCCCATTCGATTTCATATCATGATGATGTGGCACTTTACTAAGGCAGACGAATACAATGGCGTTTCGTGACAATGTGTTATAGTAATTCTCATATAAACCCTTCAAACAAACTTCAAAGACACTTCCTGTAGAATGAGACAGGAAGAACTCCAGAAGCCTCTACAATGAACACGGAACACAGTAGAAACCTCAATCAAGTTTTGTGTAGCTTCACTTCATCTCATTCGATACTGTACAACCTAGCAGTTGACATAATATCGCAAACTAACGGCGCAAACGAAATGATTCTCAAAGTGTATTAGATACTACCAAGGATAACCATCGAGTTGCGGGCATGTACATCCACAAACGCTTGGAGGAACCTTGTATAAGCATAATTATTTATTTATTACGGACATCTTAAAGAATTCGAAGCGTCGGTAATGAGACAAACCATAAGAAACTACCCCAGCCATAAGCATATGTCGCAATTTTTACTATTAGATCCACAGTACTAAATCCTTTCCACTGGACAGTACAACCCAGTCCAACCTAACCTTGAAAGCGTATCCGAAACCGGTCACACTAGTCCACAAAAATGCAGTTCTCTCAGGAAACACGAACTTCCTTTCTATCTACTCATTTTATTTTTACGAGTACAATACGCACAAGAATTACTTCAAAGAATTGGAGTTTCTGGAGAACATGGCGAATGTCTATGGTTCCAATAAACTACACGTGTTCTTCGCACAAAATTCATGGCGTTATACGAGATGCGATAATGATCGTGAATACTGAGCATGTGAAGATATTGTAGTGTTGGCCCTTGCTTAGGACTCACTCATCCAGCTTTTGCAAGAGAAACTAACGAAACCCAACAGAGATTCTAAACGAATATATTCCGAATGTTGGGGGCACGCGGTAGCGTAGTTGGTTGGGGCACTATGCTACAAGCCGGAAAGTCGCGGCTTCGAGTTCCGATGAGGTGGATTTTTAAATTTACCTAATCCTTCTAGCCGCACTATGGCCCTGGGGTCGACTCAGCCTCTAACAGAAACGAGTACCGGGAATCTTCCTCGGGGGGTAAAGGGCAGCCAGCGCGTAATGCTGACAACCTCACCGCCAACTGTCTACAGAAAATGTGGGAGCTTCTGCGTCTCATAACCCTATGGATCTTCACGGCCTGTTACAGGGATAGTTTTACCTTTATATTTTCCGAAAGTTGAGCATTTAGCTGCGTCTACCTGTTCGATAATCTAAACTGCACACACACTTTCGTCCGTCTGAAATCTCGACATTCGAAACTACTCTGCGCCTTCCAACTGAATTTGTACTAGCGATCAATAAGGAAAGTTACCGAATGAAGTCAACGGTGAACCACAACTGGTGAAACAAAGTATAAACCTCACATGAAGCTGAAATCGAAGTTTACAGTACAGAACGGGGCGCAGAAACTTCCTTTTTATGAAGACGCATTGTGAAGGGAGGGGAGCTCCAGAAAAGTGGGGATAGGCTCGGCGAACACAGCAGTCGCGGAAGTTTCTAATACCCCTCAGTAGGAAGCATGAGGTGGACGAGTGAGCAGCGTGCGTTTGCTGTCGAAGCCTATTTTTCGAACAACCATTCCTACTTGGCGGTGCAGCGTCCGTTCCGTACTCCGGAATTAAGAACAGAGGTCCGGTTCCCAAACGGAAATCGATTGTTTTGTGGGTAGAGAACTTTAGGACAACCGGGAGTGTGGTGAAAAAATCATCAGGACGACAATGAACCGTCACGACGCCAGAAAATGTGG